TAATTAAAAAATATTAAATGTTTAAAATCATAAAATTATATTAATTTTAAGGATTTATAAATTCATTCAAATTAAGTTCTGAGTTCATTTAAGTTGAGTGTAAATAGGATACTTCAAAATAGAATGATTAAATTTTATTTTAATTTTAAATATTATAAGGTATATATTTATAAACTAAATTCTTTAATTTTGATGAGTTTTAATCAATCAATTTCAAATCATCCTATATGATTTAGGATTTTTAAAACAATTTAATCTATTAATATGCTAAAAATTCATAGTTTCTTTCCATTTAAATAATACTCTCGATGTGTTTATAAAAACTGGATTTCTTAGAAATGATCCAATCTAATTAAGGATTTATATACAGCAAATCTTTTGTTATTGGTTTGTATTCATCAATAGTCTCTTATATTTGTGGAATATCAAATGTCAATGCCTCAAAAATACTTAACTAATTTAAATTTAATACAAAGAAGTTTTTAGACCATAACTAGATAATCCTTAAAACCTCTTACACAAATTGTTCTAAAATGTCTGGTATTATAATAAAAACTCTACGTGAATCCTTTTAAATCAATTTATATTAATTCTTTAAACAACAATTTACTTATTAATTTATTATAATAAATATTATATCTTTCTTCATAGATCTCCTTAATATGTTAGGCAAGATTAACTTTAAATTAAGGTGTGTATATTTAAAGGGGAAAGATTGACACTACTTTTCGTTTATTTAATATAATATATTCACGATACATCCATAATAAATTAATTAGAATACTTATTGAACTTTATCTTCAATTGGATCTTTTTTATCAACAATTATCATTCAATTCGGTCATCCAAAAAAGTTAAAATCATAGCCTAAGTCAAATTATATCCAGTCTCAATTTTATTTTTAATTGAAATTGTTAAGAAATTAGAAAAAAATTTAAAGGGATTATCACATATGCTGTATTACTCAATTTATTTGCAAATCCAATTAGGTTCAATTTCACAATTAAAGCAGCCATAGTTGAGATTCAGATTTCCTTCATCACATATCTCTTAATTTTCTAGAATACAATTAGCACATATTGATTTATATTTAATACATTCCCCTTTCAAGCAATCTAAACAACTATCTTACAAGAAAATTGGCAGTTAAACATCAATCAAATTATATTCTCTTGTACTGTTCCACATTTGGATTTATAATTACCATCAATATTCTAACATCCGAGTGAGTTCGAGGATTTTAAAATAAATAATTTAAAATGATGGTTTACTTTTGTGTTTTATTACAAATATCTTAGCATTTTAACAAAGATAAATCATCAGACGCCAAATAACTATTTCATAATATCAACTATATCTTATACCTTCTGTTTGTCCTCCATAAATTATTATTTAATTAATATCAACACACAAATCGTTAATCGTTGCATGTGTTACTCATCGATTAGGTGCAACTCCCTATACTAAATTATTTATAATTTTTTACCTTCAATATTTTTCCATTAATTTGTCTACATATCATAAGAGTATATCCTGAAAATCTATATTTCCAGTTGAACTTTTAAATGTAATACTATTAGCCACCAAAAAATATTCAAACCTTTATGGTGGCAATTATCCAGAATATTCAAATTACTTCCTTTTTGTTTCTTAATCGACAACCATATTGACTAATTATTCTAGTTCAAATAAATCAATTCAAAAAATATTTAATAATTTATATATTATCCAGTAGTATCGTCAATTTTAAAAACTTATTTTAGGCTCCTTATTCAATTTATGACGAAATCCTTACTAAGAACAAAGTTATGATAGAATATAACAGACAGAAAATTTAATTTATATATAATAATAGAAATTTAAAGTTGAGACTATATATGTTTATGTTCATAATGCTATTTGAACATGAAATCTTGATTCTCCATTTAATTCAATTTATCTGTTTTTCTTAATTAATTAAATAAATATTAGTAGAAGCTAAATTCATTCAGATTATAAAAGAAATTGCAACATAGGGAGTCTAAGAGATGATGCTAGAAGAAGGGCTGAATTTTGATAATAAATACTCTTGAGTATTCATGTATGAGTCTAAGCAGTCTTCCTTAATAATTTATATTACTTATATTCAAAATAAGTATAATCTTAATGCAATTGATGAAGAATTTTTGAATCAAAATATTAGAACAATGTCTATAAAATAGAAAAAAGTAATTCAGTTTCTGATTATTGATATATAATTTGTTAACTTTACTTTTTATTCGAAAAAAATAAAATTTTAATTTGTTTTCATATTTCAAATTTAATTTAAATTAACTTTAATTTTAGTAGGTCTGTCAAATTTCACAAATAAAAGATTTAAGTAAGTAATCAGAAGTTGCTTATCTAAATATTAAATAAAAGAATTTCTCAATTTCCAGTTGAGATTATATGCTTTGATAAATATAGTGATAATGAGTATGATTTTAAACTGAAATTATATAAGAAAGTTTAAAAGATTGGAAGATATTAATTGAAATATAGATAAATTTCAATACAGTTAGAAATACAGTTAGAGAAGCCATTAATAGTACATTGGCTTAAAAATTATAAGAGATTGAAATTTCTTTTTGATTGGTATTTATAATCAATTACAATCTTTTAGATCAAGAAGTGGGTAATATTAAGTTGTTAAAAAATATCTAAAGGTGAATTACAGAGGCTAGATTTACAGGTTTAAATTTAGTAATATTTTATATTATCTTTAATTGGTATGGAATTAACCAAAAGTTGACTGATGAATAAAAAAAACTGAAAGGAAAGCTTACTAAGTTTGAATAAAATAGAAAAGAAGGGAAAAGGATAACCTAATTAAAAATCTAATAGAAAACATACTTCTCAATATAATCACCTAATGGATCATAAAATGAAAGTGATTGTTGGAAAGAAGAAAACAATTATAATAAAAAGGTATTTTAAAGGGTGAAATTAGAAAGAGCTTATTGATCTTTAATTCATGAGAAATATAGCTAAATAGCAACTAAAAGAATTGCAAGAGAGACTAGAAAATCAAATCATTAATAAAATTAATTTGGACTTTTATGAATATTTAAATGAATCTTTAGGGTCTCATAACTTAAATGGTGATCAAATTATGTTTTCTATAGCATCTAATACTCTCTGTATTATAGAATTTATTATCTATTGGCTTAATGCCAACAAAAATAAAATATTCTTCATAATGTACTAAATCATCCTTTTCATTCTAACGAGTTAAATTATTATTTAATAAATTATACCATGTTTACTCCATTCATGTCTATTCTTAGTATATGTTTTTAGTTTTTCTTGATTCCCTCTGTCATTTGTAGCTCCTGGCCATAATACTTGGGTAGTATTATTGCCATACTAATATCAATTTAAAAGTTATAGAATATATTTAGTATTTAGTTTTAGAAACTTATTACAATCAATATAAAAATAATTATGGATTAAGCGTTGAATGAATTAGAATTCTATATTGCTCTATTGTTGTCTAAAATATTCTATCTTTGTTAATTGGCTTTTGAATATATAATTCAATGCCTCATGAATTAGTATAAATAACTAAGTCAAATAAACTACTTATTATAATCATTACCCATAACATTATCTTAAACCTCAAATATCTACCTCACTATACAAAATTTCATTTTAAAAAAAAAACAACTGGATTTGGATTCCTGACTAGTGCTTTCAAGTGACCTCTGAAATCATCGCAATTAGACATTTAAATATATACCAAGTAACAAAACATTATGTAACTCAAAATACTATAGGTATTTTAGGACCACCTGCACTCATATAATGAAAATTAAATATCATAAATTCAAATGCTATTATTGAAATCTATATCTGTCATTTAATTGTTTGTATTATCTAATTAATAATAAATATGTGAAACACGACAATTGGATTTTTTGCTATCCATATTCATATGTAAAATAATTAATATAATACTCCTGGTCTGAAGTTTTACACATTAAATATATTCTAACTTTAACAAACCAGTAGTATATTTTTATAAATATTTTAAAAAAAATTGATATTAACAATCTTCCTAAATTAAAACATCCTAGAAGTAATGTGAATATAATTTTTTGACTAATACTTGTATAATTAGAAAAGTTGTGAACTTTGAACATTTTCAAATTACCCTGTCATTTACCACTTGTGTATTTAAATAATAATAAAGTATATCTCAAATTAATTGACAATTTAATACAACTATAATTTCAAACCGTAAATGCAGATTAACAAATGCATTAAGGCAGTGATTTCAAAAATTCAACAATAAGACCGCTGCTAGAATTTTTAAATTTAATGTTCTTAATGAATTACTATTTGAAATGGTAATTTTTGTATAGAAGTGATTGTTAATACATGGTATTTGTAAATCAATTTAGGTAATGGTTATGCTTAAGGCAATGAATCTATTTAATTTGATTGATGTTATTTGTGTGCTTATTCTTTCATTAAATATGTCTTTATTGATTCTAAGGTTCTCTGTTTTATGAGGATAAGGCCATTTAGAAAATGGATCATTAAGTATTTCTATTTTAGGAGATAAATATCTTTTGTTTAATTAAGGGAACAATGTGATGATGAAAATTTAAATGATGATGATGGTTGTAAAGATGTGTCTTTGTATATAATTGAAAGTGTTATCCAGATAATCAATTTGGTTATTTTATTTACAGTATACTTCGAATGAACCCTGAAAGAATATAAATATTCCAAATTATTTTTCTAGAATCTACATTCTAAATTTTTATTGTTTTATCATCATTGGCTGCTATTAATTAATTTTCTAATTGAATGCTGAGTATCATTTATTGAATTGATTCACTTGTGCTTTTAGTATTTCTTAGAATGATCCCACTATCATTTTGAAATTTATTGCCAACATCACGGTTGGATATAAAAAAAGTTGATTACAAAATTAGACTTGCAATTTGATTTTGATTTTATGTGATACTAAAATTTTGGGGATGAATCTTCAGGGTGTAAATTTTTAATTAAATAGCTTTGAAAGAGATTGAAAAATAAGCCATTCATAAATTATAAAATGTAAACTTAACCCGTTATTTTAAATAATATTGAGAATTATTGATGATGAAAAAATGCTCCTATTTGAAGATGAATAAATAAAGCTCAGAACCAGAATTTAGATTTAACTTTTCATAAATTTAGATATTACTATCGAATAGATTGGTCATATTGAAATATATGAATACTGATCTAAGATAAATTTTGATATAAATTTGAAATAGTTTATTGTATAAATTAATTTTGAAGTAATTTATGGTTTATAATTGTTAATTTTTGAATGAACAGATTAAGAATCTGTTCTCTTCTTTGAAGTATGTATGACTTTTAATTTCATAAGATTTTATAGCATAAGTGAGTGGATTATTTAAAATACGCATATTAATTTGTCGGCTTTTTCGAATTTTCCTAGAATATAAGAAACATCAATAAATTTAAATATGGAACTTCCTAGCCACAACAAAGTTATGGTTTACTTAGTCTTAGAACATCAAAAATTGCTATACTGAATTTTTAAGTATTTGAGAATCATCAAATTTAAATATCTATGTTAACTAATTTACATTTTGAATTCCTATATGCTTTAATATCAATCAATCTGATGATGATTTCAAGAATAAGTGAAACTCCATGTAATAAATCTTAGGAAAATTAGGAAACTTTTTGAAAACTCTTTTATGGAGTTGCATCTAGTTTTTTTAAATCCTCATCATTTTCAGTTGATTAGAATTAAAAAATTAATATTGTATATCTAAACTTGCTATATCTTTGGAGCCAGACATTGATCAAATAGTGACAGTTGATAAGAATATAAAAAAAAATGACTATAACAGTTACACACAATGCTTTGATGTTGATCTTATTTTATCTTAGTAATTTAACAAAGTAGTTATCCAGATTATAAAACTATTAAATAGAAATGTAGGTATCAAAAATCTAATATTATTAGATTACTCATAATATTAAGGGTAATCTACTTTATTTGTCTTCTTGTTAAGTGATATTAATTAAAAGACAATATCGTGTAATTTTTATTATTATTTAGGTATTAATTTAGGTAGAAACAGTTAATACAGTGGCTTATGGATTAATGATCCAGTAGAGATGACCTATAATGAATTTAGTAATTACTAAACTTCTTTATATGTTACATTTACTGAAAATGAATATCTTATTCGTAAGGTGGCTTTATATTATGATCACGAAAATCCTCTTTAAATTATATTGGATGACAAATTAATCTAGCTATAATTGTAGATCTGTACTCAAAAAAGAAAGTATTGTAAACTTGAATGGTTATAATGCTGTATCATCTTAACATAAAATTATTACTTTTTAGGTGGCAGATTAATAAAAAACTCTTCTTCTTATTCTATTCAAATCTAAAAAATGTACAATGTGCTTTATAATGTCTTAAAAATCTACAATAGTTTTTTTATTATCTTTCATTAGCTCTAT